TAATTAATTTATCTTCATTTATATATTGCAGTATTATTAATTCTAATTATAAGTTAATTAAAATTTCACATTCAAGAATACATTTCATTATTCAAGTTCATGTATGCTAATTAACACCAAATTTTATTAATTAGAGTTAAATATCACATCAAGTGAGAATAATTTTTTCGATGATTCTAACCCTACTATAATTTAATTATTTTAATAATACATTACTTTCGTTTTTCAATATTTATTTAATCATTTAGTTACCATCAATGTACATGTACATTAGACAGATTCATTTCACATATATGCTTTCATTAATTTATGAATTTTCAATTATTAATTTTCAATCAATTGACATTACATTTCATTGTTATTAATTCCAATTATAAATCAATTATAATTTCACATTCAAGAATACATTTCATTATTCAAGTCCATGCATATTAATTAACATCCAGTGTTACTTAATTGGAAATTAAATAAATGAATTAACATTTGTTGTCACACACACACACACACACACACACACACATATATATATATTCTGGTATTAATTCTAAATTAATTAATATTTATGCATAATCAAATATTACTTTTACAAAACTCATAAAATATTTCATAACGTGCAACGCATATTCAACGTTGACTAATATCCGCCATAAGAGGGATAGGTTAATGACTCAGTTGAACCTTTGATTTGGATGAGAACTTTGGATTATTAAGGATCTTTTCTCTTTACCATTTTCAATCCGTTTTCTGTTTTTTATTTTCCAAAACAGTGAGAATGTGTTCTCTTTCCTATTTTTGAAAACGCATTTTTGAAAACAAGTTAAAAATTTATAAAGATGTCGTTTTGAGTGTTTTCAGTTATAATTAAGTCAGAATTTTCGAAACGCGTTTTGGGTGTTTTCAAAATAATTTTTCAAAATGTTAAAAAGAACACATTTTCAACAATTTCAAAATGGACACTCAAAACTCAAAATCCAAAATAAATTCAAAACTCAAAACACAAAATTGAAACACAAATAAAACAACATTTTAAGATGGAATCTTAAATCGTAATATAGTATGATTAGAGAACGTAAAGCTCAATCGTGCAAATCGATATGTTCGAAAGCTCAAACCAACAATCGAATTTCGAGATAAATATTTCAAATGAGTCATCATCTTGGTGAGACATGTTAAATATATCCCACATCGAATAAAGATAAACAAATTTATATCATATAAGGACTTTTCCAACTTTTCTTAATAAAAATTGACCTTTTCAAATAGAATC